TTTATGCCAACTGAGACTCATCCTCCACTGGCACGCACGCAAACACCTTCTGCAGAAACACTGTGCCCTTGTCTACAAAAGAATGCACTCACTTTGCCACACCGTACCTCCACACATCCCTCACCCTACTGCAACACATCCACTCACTGATGAAGTTTTGGAAGCTCTTCGGCTTCTTCTTCCATGACACACCCAACCAGTAAATGGGAACCGCCGCCAACATGAGCACCACGTTGGAGAACGACTCACGTGGCTGTTGGTAGATCGTCAGCACCAAAATGAAGAGGTCGCATCCAAGAAACAGAATTGGGAAGAAGATCGGCAGCTACAGACAACAAAACAAATGCACACTCATCACATCCACATCCTCCCAACCGAAATACATGTCCCTCGCCATCCCTCCACTCGTCGACACTCCCACACTCAGCCGCAGCACAAACAACCATAGCAACGCCAAAGCAACAACAGATGAACACTACTGTACCTGGAACGACGTCTTCAGATCAGGCTCCTTGTAGCGCATGTACAACAGTGCAGTCACCGCCAAAGCCGCAATGAAAGAGAAGGCGAAACCAGCCAACTCAATCAACGCAAAGAGATCACTGTAGAACTGGTAGCCCACCGCGAGAACAAGCTGTGGACACACAACAATGCACAATTAATAGTGCGCCATAACTCGCCATACCGACCCCACACCTCCTCATCACCATACCACTGACTAGGCTATGACAAGTTCTACCCACTTCCACCCAACACACACACTCCTACAAGATACGCCTCACTTCTCCCTTCCTTCCTTCCTTCCTTCCTATCTAAAAGAGATCGTGCACAACTCGAGGACAACCCCACAATTAACTACAAACAAGGCAAAGGGCAGTGAGAAGAGAAGGCTTACCAATATGAGAATGGCCGGAATGGGCGTCAAGTTGCAGTGGTGAATCATGGCGAGAATGGATGGCATGTGTCCCTCTCTCGCTCCAGTGTATGTCAAACTGCATAACAAACACCACAACTACATCCACAACCGCCGAGGCCACATGCTTTAATGCCATTCAAACAAACCCACTTACCGAGACATCGACATCGCCTCACCGTTTATGCTCCCAAACACTGACGCACCGACAAATACAGGCATCAGCATTGAAATCCACGGCATTGCACGCTCCGCAAACACCTAAAAACCACCACACAACCATCATCACTGCCAAACAATCCAACACCTTCGCCCATCCCATCACTTACCAACTCAACCCAAACCAACCCAACCCAACTCAACCCATCTCACCTCACCCCCTCTCATCTCATCACACACCACACATCACTTCACCACATCACTGAGCCAACAAACCACACATTATTGTGACCCCAACTTACCACCGCAATAGCCGATGATCCAGACCCCGTCGCCAACATTTCGTACGGACTCAGCACCGCCAGGTACGCTATGTTCGTTAATACGTAAAGACCCATCACCAAGGTGAGTGCAATTCCAATCGCCAGTGGCAGATTTCTGTAATCAAACAAACACATCTACCACTCTTGCTCTCCCTCCACCAACATACCATTTACACCACATCCATCCACACCCAACTCACCTGCCCGGATTCTTCATTTCCTCCACCAAGAAATTCAGATAATTCCTACAATGCGGATAACAATGTGATCACCACTTCATCCACCTTTCATACCTCTTCGTCGGCATAACAACCACACTCACACCCACACCCCAACACACATAACATCCTCTCCATTCCACAAACAACATTCATGCCACATACTCTCCCCAT